TAAAAATAGACGTTCGATAAATTCGATGGCACGCGAAATATTCGACAAAATATTTTATATGTACCGTGTGAGCGATGCACATTTACATTTTTTCGCGAAAAGTAAAAATCGTTGTATATCGAATGCGCGTGCATAACCGGTTTTTTTCGGACCGAAGTCGATGAAAAAAATAAATAAAATAAAACAAACAGGATAGATCGCGACAGACAAACATGTATGAAACACGCGTATGTAAAACAAAAATCGGTAATCGATCGATGATCGTTTTCTTTTTCTTGTATCAAAAATATAAGCAAAACAACACTTATATAAACGCGCGTCTAAATCGGTTAATGGCGTCCGCGTCCGCCGATGCCGCCGAAGTACGATAAGTTTCGAAAGATGAAGGCACGGTTATTGTGTTGCAGAGCTTACACGATATAGAGGCCTTATATCCCCGAATAATAAATCGTATCGACGTATTATATACATATTTATTTTAACGAAATCGGCCGCCGATCGAAGCGCAAACAAAAAACTCGACGATTACTCGGAAAGCCGCGCGACGATAATGTATAAAAAAAATACGTGTCAATTGTCAAGCGGGGAGTTCTTTAATTTGCCAATTACAAATAGTAGCTCTGTGTGCCGTCAGCAGAAAGAAAAGAAGAATAGATGTTTGCTCGCGCGCTCGCGTGCATTATAATAGGATACGTAGTATCGTGCTCGCGGAGTTGAAAAATCGGAGAAGACCCGAAGCACACATATACATATAAAACAAACTCAGGTGTGCGTGTATGTATGAGTGCGCTAATGTAGAGGGGAGATATAGCTTTGAACCAGCAACAGCAGCAGCAGCAACACATCGTCTCTTCTCTGAATGAATGAACCAACGCACAAACACACACACTCACAGGCATCATCATCATCATCATCGATGCTCGGTTACCCACACACATACACACGTACATAATGTATAATATACAAAAAGCCAACGCGCGTGCGAGAGCTGCCGCCACACAGCCGCGCGCGCGGATCGGAGAGTATAGAGAAGAGACAGGCCCTCTCTTTCACTCCCGCAGACTCGCTCGTGCTCGCGCCTCACTCCGAATCGAAACTTGGCGTTCGGCGAGCGATATATACCTATATATATAAAACGTATATAGACGCGCGCGCGTTATATAGAGCCCATAATATACACACGCGCGCTCGGCCGTGCAGCAGCGACTTCGTCGCAGTGTACCTCTCACTCTCTCTCCTCCAACACGCGTGCAAGTTTTGCGGTGCATTACATTACACTCGTACACGTACATGCAGATGCAGGAGTGAAACAAAATATTATTATCGTCGTCGAGAGTTCGAGAGAGAGACCATAAGTGCAAGTGTGTGTATGAAAAAAAAATCGTGTGCAGTTTAGTGTAAAAAAAACTTACCGATCGTTCGCCAAGCTCAACCATATCCAACACAACCCCTCGCACAACAACGATTTTGTCGCGAGCGATTTCTATATGTGTTTGTGCGGGCGCGAAATGGAGATAGGCAGGCGTGCTCAGATCTGGCAGCCCTGGCTGAACTTCGTCAACCATGGCAAGGCGCTCATAGGTAACGATCGATAATCTATATTCGAGAATATCTTATTATTAATGATAATATAACGTCATCCGTCTCTTTCTCTCTCCGTGTTTGTATATGTGTTTGCTGTTTACCAAAAAGAAGTGACAGGCTCGATTATAAAATTCGCGCATTAAACGACCAATGATGAAACGAACATCAAGTCTCGTAACACGGGCACGCGAGATATAAAGCACATAAACGCACACATATACTCGCACGCATCGGCATGGCGTATAACCAGTGGCAGTGTATATAAGCGTATTATAATAAGAGATCGGCGTGGCCCGAGACAACGCGCTGACTTTCGGATATGTGCTGTATATATGTATGGCTATGCTGTTGTTGTTGCTGCTGCTGCTGCCGTTGATGCTCTTACTATACACTCTGTCGCGTGGGTGTAACGCGATGAGGCCTCTTCTGATTAAAATCAAGATGAGTCAGAGACGAGAGCAAGAGAGGCCTGACTTTTTTATTGATATTTATCATTTTTGTAATTTTTTTATTTTATTTTTTGCGCAATCCATACATTATAATCTCGTGAGCGTGCGCGACGTGCTTTCTGAATAATTGTGTAAAATTTGCAAGCGATTAATTCTGCCTCGTGTCGCGATGATTCCGAATGAGAGGAAAAAAAACATAAAATAAATAAATAAATAAAAATTCGACGAATCGATCGCTAGACGATGACGAGGACCACACATGCTTTTTATATATTATCATTATTATTATTGTATATCGTTTCACGAATATTCGCGCGAGCGGCTTGCTCGAGTTTACTCAACGAAAGCGTCGATTTGTTTGCAAAACTTTACGTATACCGCGTCAAGTTCAAAAGCTTTTCTTTCCATTAGGAGGAGGAAGAAGCTTTTCAAACGACGATCGACGTTCGTTGCTTCTAGCACGTAAGCCTGCTTCTATATACTTCGATTGTTGTTGATTTTTTTTGTATTTTTTTTTTTCGTTGCTACACTTCATCACTTAAAATAATTCGGCTGTCGCTGGGGCTTATCATTATCCGATACTTCGATCGGTGCACGCGTCGATTGACATCTCGAGTGGGTCAATAAAGTGCCTATCCGCGCGATAATGTATCAAACCACATTTTCGGTTTACTGATTATATCCCCCCGCATCAATACCGATCTCTGCCAGCGAAATAAAATTAAAAAACGAGAGAAGATATTCAAGATCGAGATAAATCTCATCCCCGCGAGTTTATATTGTCTTTCGCTCGTTATAGATTACGTAAAAATTTAATCGTTATTTTCTTCATTTTATTATACAAATGCACACACACACATAGTTAATGCGGCTGGACGTCTCGAGGAATCGCTCCGCTCGAATCGCATATTTATGATATAAACACGTCCGATAACTTCTCCCGCGATTAATTGCAATACATATGAGTAATCCACCCGGAAAAAAGCTATATCTCTACCGCTTCGCCGCTCTCTAAGCGCGTTCAAACGCGACCATCTCTGCGCTCAGCAGCAGCAGCAGCATCACTCGGAGGGCGCGTCATCGTCGTCGTCGCCCTACCGTTAATAATCTTTCTCTCCTTTTTTTCCAAAAAATAAAATCGAGCATCCTCTCATTATAACCCCGCGAAGAGAAAGAGAGTTTATTATCCATTAATTCGCCGATATATGGTGTACGTATATACCTATATACACGCTATACACACTCACATCTTCAAAGGACTCGTGTGCGAGGCGCTCACACACAGAAACACACGCTTACTTTACACAAAGTTCGGTCCATCCATTCATCCTCTCTTTTTCTCTCTCTCTCTCTGGCTCTGCGGGCGCAGGGGAGGAGTTCCGCTCACCGAAAAACCAGTTTGCCTCTCACGGCTATTACGCACTTCCTGCCGCCCCGCGCGCAGTAGTGCGCTGTGCGGCGCGCGCGAATCCTGGGAACTGGACTGGTTTTCCATTACGTATACAGATACATAGATACACACATACACAATATATATATATAGCTTACCTATATATACAACGTCCAGCAGCAGGAGCAGAGCAGCCCTTTTTCTATGCGTTTATTCCCTTTACTTTTTTGCCGTGATTTTTTTGGTTTTTTTGAAGTTGCTCCTCTTTCTCTCTCTCAGCTCGACTCCGAGGCAAGGGTTTGAGATTAGCTTCGATATCGTCGTCTTTTTTATTATATTTTGTATATTATATTATGTGTACAAGCCACATCATGAGAAAGCTTTGTATAAATACCGTGGCCGAGCGGGGCAGTTTTATAATTAAAATATGATGCGAACGCGGGGCTCGCGCGCGCGCGCGATGATTAATTAGACCTGTATGACTATGTGTGTGTGTGCGTTCGCTCGCGCGAGTGAGTGTGTATATTACAACGACAAAAAAATAAAGTAATGCAACTCACTTTTTGCGTTTACTTTGTACAGTATTATCTGGCCGCGGCGAGCAGTGGAATGTAAGACGTGTTTCACATTTGCATTCTGCGCGCTATGGTCTATTTTCTTTTTTCTAAACTCTTTCGTATATATTTTATACACGTTATATAGCGCGAGCGTATACAAAGCGTCATCTCTCTAAATATTTTATGATGTGATATACATAATATCTTATCGAGTTTATATATAGGTAGTATATAAAGTAGCGGCGCGAGACGATGAAAGAATTTCTGGAATTCGTCGATTTGTTTTTCAAAATATATACGCAATATATAGTCTCGGGTGCGTAAGAGATTTATCACCTTTTTCTTCTTGAGCCGCGTAATACTATGAGTGTGTGTGTGTGTGTGTCTAACAACACCATCGCGCACCCAACGTGTCAATGGGGAGGAAATCGGATGAGTAGTAGTATATAGCTCGAACGTCGGCAAAAATCAAAAGAATCTTAGGAAGTCAAAAAATGTTTGATCTCTTTCTCGTGCTCGAATGAGTAAATGTGCGCGTAACACACGAGAGCACACATTACGAGAACCCATGGGAAGCTCGAGGTGTATTTGCATGCGTGTGCGATATTAGTATGGATATATAGCGTATAATGTGCTTATTATAGGAGCGCGCGCATATAATATTCGCACGTGTGCGATGTAGTGTAAGTGCAAAACTGGAAATTCGAGATTTCGAATCTTGATTTATTGCTGCATCGGAAAAGAAACAAAAAATTATACATTTTAACTTCTTCTTAAATAAACATTTACACGAATACGCATACGGGTAGAGCCGAGAGTCAAGGTGCTCGAATCGTATGATAGAGCGTCTTCTTCCTTTTTTTTCTTAATTTTATTTATCATTTCTCGCACGCGTATCTTTTGGCCGTTTTTAAACGATTCGCCTGTTCACACGCGCGGATGATTCTAGTAAATCTCTCTCTTTTTTATTCTTTTTTATTACGAACCAAACTGACGAAAAATTTTGTTTAATTTTTTCAGAGGAGCGGCCAAAGACGACGAATCTGCATCGCCGACCGAGTAGCACATGGCGCAAGGAGCGCCGACGCGACCCGATCCAGAGCGAGGCCCTGGACATGTCGGCGGCCCGGGTGGTGCACTGCAGCAGGCCGAGCGTGATCGTGCCGACGACGGCGCCGGCCGCGCCCCAACAGTCGCCCATCAAACAGTCGGCGGATTCGGCGGCCACCGAAGCCCTCGCAGGTAATGATTTTACTTTACAAATTGTATATCTTTAAATTAAACTATGCATCGAGTAACATTTTTTAAACGAATATTTTTGAATCCACAGGTGAAACGACGGAAGACACAGCGGTGACACCGACGGCGAGCGTGACGGCCTCGGCGGCGACGCGCGGCCAGCATCACACGGGCCTGAGGCAGTCCGGCGTGGCCAGCGACCCGGCCATCGACGAGCACTTCAAGCGCTCGCTCGGACTCAAAGATTACGCCGCGGTCTTCAACGCGAGCAACACCGGTGGCGACAAAGATACGGGCTTGAGCGGTGGGTATTTACAAAAAATAATATGACTCAGATTGATAAAAATGACACACACGCGCGTGTGAAAAAAAAAGTAACAACAACAACAAGAATACTAATGAGTCTATTTTCTTTTCCGCAGTGGACGATCATTTCGCGAAGGCCCTCGGCGAGACGTGGACGAAGCTTCAAGCGACCAGTCGAAGCAAGGACTCGACGTAACTTCTCTCTCATCGTGCGCAGAGTCATATTTTCTTCTTGAACCTATTTTTTTGCAATTCGTAATAAGATTTGTACACGACATACTCGCTGACGACAACGACTTAAAGCGTCGCTGCTGTTGTTTATTTATTTATTTTTTTTTGTAAATCTGGTTGAATCATTGAATTATGCGACAACCAGCGCAGAATCTCGTCAAAATTCGCTCGACGCTATAATTGAAACTTTGTACATAGGATGAGGCGATGCTATTCGATTAATATGCGTCACCGAATCAAGTAGGCTATACGACATAATAAGTAATTATACGTGTAGTAATAATTACGTATACTTAATTCATAAATTGTACACATAGAGGCAATAATATCTTGATTGATTTTTTTTCGGATACCTAAGAATATTGAAGTAATTTACCCACGACTCATTCGCACGTGACGATGATGATCGATAAAAGAAAGAAAAAAAATGTATAGGTAATATTGCCTGTTCTTTTTTTTTTTTACTCACGACGATATTGAAACGTGTACATGATATTTTTTGATATATGATATAAGATTTTATCATAATATTAATCGTGTATAATGATTTATATACACATCGTTTGTTAATATATTCCTCGCAAGCTCGCAATACAATGCATACACACTGTATACTACGATATAAGATGGTAAAAATGCTTTGGGAGATTCTTAAAAAAATATATAGACGTACGTAACAAATATATGTATAGGAAAGCTATATAAACAAATCGCATGGTTGCTTAAGGTACAAAACTTTAACGATGAAATTGTACATTACGAGTAATTTAAAATTAATAACCGAACTCAATCGAACGAGTTTCTTTTTGTATTATTTGGCCAAGTTTTTCGAATCATTCGAATAGGTGCCCGAGTTAATAAACTCTTAACATTTGATAATAAGATAATTTAATATACGAAATAAATATTACATACTTATAAATATAACGCTAATTAATGTGTACGTTATACGATTACAATTATGATGTGTATATTGTCCTTTAATGATAATTCTATTATTGGATAATGAAAAAAAGACAACCAAGTCTTAATAAAAACGAACGTTCCTGTATTATAGACGAATGCATTATTTTTCTCTATTATTCCTTTTCTTAACATAATGTACTGGTTCAAATTGTTATTTTTTGTCAAATTCAATACTAGCTGATTAGTACAAACGTAAATCTTTTTTATCGACCGAGTCAGAATCAAGAATCTTAAACAAATTTTCATTTCTTTGATTTTGTTTCAACAACATTTACCATAGGATCTTTATGCTACGCTTATTTTATGAACAATCGCACTTTTCATCTCTTGACAGCAGCTATTGCGTTGGCCCATAAGAAGAGTAGTACTGATTTCAAATGGTGCTAGGAGCTTGTATGCAATAATACCCCAGCACACATCGAAGCCAGTACCTCTGCTATCTTAACGTCTTCTTTCTTCTCTTTTTCTTCTTGCTTTTATCTGTCACCTGAAATAATTAATTCTTTTTTTTTAACTTTTAATCCGCCTGATATGCCTTGGAGCACCTCCAGTTACGGTGCTTGTATATGTGTATGGTGCTGTATTTTCTTTCATAACCAATGCCGGTAGTAGCAGCAGCAGCAGCAGCAGCTTTGAGATCGGTTTTCACGAGCGCGTTTCTTTGCGTCTTGTTTTTTTTCCTTCCCTTCCGTCTCGATGTTGTGTGTGTGTGGCTTGATAATAAAAAAAATAATAAGAATAACTTAAGATCGTGGCTTATCATTACATAAGACAGTTTCTCGGTGGATGATAAAACGTGTTGCAGGTATACCTATACCTGTTAACCAACTATAATATCGAATGACGGTACCTGCTCGTGAAAGAGAGCACAAAGCTCTCTAGTACACGAGATACCAGAAAATTAACAATTACAAGATTAGATTGAAAAATGAAAATTTTAATATGAGTTTGAAAATTTGAAAGATGTGCTATTTTCCTTTGTACATTTGCATAACTTAAGCAGACTTTTTACGCGAAAAGAGTTTTCACGAATGAAGGTACAGTGTATTATTTGTTTACAAATAGAAAAAGAATAGTAGCTTAGTTAAAAAATACTATACCAACAGAAATTAATTCTATTATAGAAATTCTAATTTACGCTTGAAAAAGTTGTACAGAGTCAAACTATGATGGTTTTTGTTATAAAATATGGAAATTTTTACAGTACATTGTTACGGTAAAAATTATTTTTTTAAATCCACACAACTTTTTCTTGCAGGCATAGCAAATTTTAATACAAAATTTCTCATAGTACATACAAATGTTTACATTAAAATGTGTGAGTATATCATTGCTATTAATATTGTTTATAATAATGCAACGTTCTTACGTCAGTTTGAATTACGTCTAATACACGATCGCCAACAACAGCCATCCATCGATGTAGAACATTTCAATCGAACCACAAAGGCCAGTCATGCGCGTCTCAACGCGGAGAACGAAAATTCGTATACACGATCGTGTGCGCAGAAAAACAACAACGACGACAGCATCAGCAGCAGCAACAACAATGAGATAGAGTTACGCGCTCGCGTATGCAAATGCACTTTTTTACGATAAAAAAATCGTCGCTTACAGCAGCAGCAGCACAGCTTTAGGGAAACGTATCACACCGACTTTTGGGCGCAGGAGAGAAGGCGCGCGCGAGCGATACAAAAGTTTGCAGCAGACTGACTGTGTGTGCATCATTATTACTATATATCGTGCGCACCCTTCCGCACGGCTCCTCGTACGTATACCAACTGTCTTTTCTCGTCCGCGTTAAATTCGAATCATTGCACACGAGCCGACGAGAGAGAGAGAGAGAGAGAGAGAGAAGCGGAGCAGAGCACACAACACGTAACAAAAAAAGGCCCAGGGTACCAAAAAAAAGGATGAAATAAAAAAAAACCGTACGATCGATCAACGCACGGAATCCCGAAAAGAGTTCAAAGTTTTTTTTAAGCTTCCTTGCGAAAGAGAGAGAGAGCGAATACATAATATATGAGTGAGAGAGAGAGAGAGAGAGAGAGAGAAAAAGGGGAAAAGATCGAATGACAGACGCTCGGCGCGATCGGTAAACAGTATATACGCGCACGAAGCTTTATAATACAACAAACGCACGATGCAGGTTCTAAAATTATTTATTATTCGTTTACTTATCTATTTTCACCTTTTCTTTTTAATCCTCGAGTTGCGGAGCAAAACTGCAGCGGCCCTACGTACGAGAAGACGCTTGTATATAATACATAACACACTTGCAACGACGAAATAATGAATACAATACGCGTGCATGCGTGTACGGTACGTATATAACAATATAATCCACCCGCACGCACTCGACACGCGACAATTAAACTCTGCTCTCTATAAGGATGCACGTGCCTGTCTCTCTCTTTCTCTCTCGATGTGTGTGCGTGAGTGAGCGTGGTGTATCGCCGCAGAAGGAAGACTGAGGCTCTCGACGACGTCGCTGGCTTCCTATATGTGCGAATTCTGGCCCCCTGGCAGACGACGACGATGACGGCGACGTAGGACAGCAGCAGTAGACCGTCCGACGAGAGAGAGAGAGATGCTCACAACGGCGTAAAACGTAACTCAATCTATCTCCTTGTTTTTTTTTTTTTTTTTGTTTTTTTATGGAGCAGCACACACACACACGCATACATACGCATTTATAGGGACGCACGCACAAATGCATGTACATAGGCCGTAAGAGGACAGGTAATCCCATACGTAAACTCGTAAGTTTATACCTGGGACACACACACCAGAAGTAGCCCCTCCTCGCTTCCTTCCTTTTTTACTTTTTTTTTGCACTCATCGCCGACGACGAGCGAGCAAGCGAGTAGAGCGTCCGCCGCCGCCGCTGTCCGTTGACACAATGGCTCACGCATACACGCACAGAGGACAGACACACACGCATACACGCGGCTACTATGGCCCTTGGTTCTCTCTACGCACTCGTTTGCTTTTTTGTTTCAAAAAATAAACGTGTGTGTGTGCGAGTCTCTTTGGGATACGCTGGCTGCACTTTTCTTTTTCGCCATTGAAAGATTGGATGACTTCTGGAAATGATATCGCGCGCGCGCTGCGTCTCTCTCGCGTCTTCGAGCGACGAAATATCATCATCGTTGTCATCACCGAACACCGAGGCTATGCTCTCGTATCTCCTTTTTTTCTCAATTTTTTGTTGCTATTCTTTGTCTATTCTTTGTTTCTCCTCATAATGCGTGTATACGTGCAATTTGGAGCACGACGAAGTGAGGCAAAATAGATACACGAGCCCGAGAAATCTCGTGGATATAGAATGTCCTCGTCTCCGCGTATTATAATAACACGAAGAAATTGGAATAAAGATCGTGTGCTGTGTGCAACAGCGGCGACGCACAGAACACAGCGTGCGCGTCAGGACGGAACATACGCTTTTCTGTACTACTTAAAATTATGTTCGCGACGCAGCAGCGCGGAGAAGCAGCAGCAACCGGAGACCTTCGCGAACTCGAGAGATTCGTAATTGTACGTCAAAAGGTTCGAATGCGAGTGGATTTAAGTGGAAACTGAGCATAATTACAGAATGAAGTCGTTATGTAGTAATTGAGTTAGAAATGTAAGCCCGATTTTCAATTAGAGTCGCGAATAATCGCGTAAAGAAAATTTCTTTTAATAAAAAATAATTGACATACATACCAGTTCGTAAAGCTCGAGGGGGACTACATAATGCTCGTGCCAATACCGATTATATCTTGATATCGCCCTTAATCACACAATTAAGCAGTAAAATAAAATATATGCAATCGCAGCGGAGTCTCGAGAGCGACTAACCGATATCTGCCCGGCTCCAGGTAATATCGAACGGTCGTAGTCGTCGCTCGTCGTCTCTCTCGAGATTTTCCATGATCGATTTCAATATCCGTTCGCGTTATAGCGGTGGCGAGCGCGACATATTACCGATCTCGAGGCGAGTCTGCAGCATATTATATGCGTACAGAGAGGCTCTGTCTGTCTCAGGCGTATCGCGTTTCGGAAATCTACTTTCAGAGTCCGATACGCGTGTGTGTGTGTGTGTGTGCATCTCGCGCCTCTCAATACTGACCGCAAATGTGCATATAATATAGATAGACGTGACGTACATAATACGAGGACGTTTCATAAGATATACATGTTTTATAGAGTCAGAGAAAATAAAATGCCATACTGCTGCTGCTGCTTATACTTTTGCTCGAATGAAATTTTTATTAATTTTTTGTTTGTCCCTCCGTTTCAAACTCGGTATAGAGTCGCGATGGTATATATAATGTATAAATACTGCAGACAATATACGCGGGGCTCTCGTTGTGTGTATGTGTGCGTGTGTGCGTCCATGTGCGCTCACAGCTCGTTTCGCTCGTTCGATCCGACAAAAACACAGAAAGATTACTGAAACTTTTTTGTCGCGTTTCAATTAACGGAAGCTCTATTATTATACGCTCTCGCGCACGCATACACACACAGGCGTATACAATACATCTCGAGCCTTTTTTTACCTCTTCACTCAGTCGCTCGCTCGCGCGCTCCTTACATCGAGCGCTCGGCTACAAAAAACCATCCACCAACCGAAATTCCTCATCCAAATCTATATATAAGAGAGAGAGAACGAGAGAAGTGAGTGCGAGAGCCAAAAGGGTCTTTTGCAACGAGTTTTTCACCAAAAAAAAGCGGAGAGCGATAAAAAAACACATATATAGTCGGCCAACAGCTCGAATAATGAGCGCGAGGCAATGTGTGTATGTGTGCGTGCACGAAAAAAAAAACGAAGGGGGGTGGGGAGCCCAGCACCACGACGACGACGACGAGTGCGCGTGCTGTAAGGATACAAACGAGTCCACACACATATAATACTAGCTGCTCTACGCGTGTGTGCATATTATACGTATATATAGGTATATTGCAGCGAATCTTATTCATTTCCTCGATGGGCACACCCCTTATAGTACATGGTACTTGGCAAACAGTAGTACGTAGTCAGAGAGAAAGAGAGAGAGGGGAGGTTCTCGTACAGTAGCTGCGGTGGCTTTGCGCGTTCGGCAGCA